AATATTTAGATTTAAATATAAACACACATATAATAAATAATACTGATGATAATATCATCATCATCATAATCATACATTTGTAATAATACTAAATCTTAAGACATATGGGCTTGAAACTAGCATTTATATTCAAGCCCAAATAAAGATTTAAAAAAAGACACACAGAGGGCAACAGTGGAGACGCTCTTTAACCACAGAGAACTTGTACCTGCAGTGTTGTATAAACCTGTGGGCAGTAGATGGCGCACTTTGCCTTTGCAACGCTGGAGATTACAGCGCATACAGCATAATATAAAGCGGAGGAGCACTGCCCTCTAGTGTTTGCTTATGAGACACAACCCTATGCCTCCTTTTAATGTTATTAAACTACTTCTGAGTGAAATATTGGGACGATATCCTGAAATACCATCAGTTAAAGGATTGCATGTGATTTAGGCTGAGTTCAATGTGTGTGAAAACTTCTTGCAGTGGTTGTAACATGGGGTGGATCTGCTTTGGTTGAGCTTGAGCCTCAGCTGTTGTTATGGAGCAGGACGCTGCACAGACAGCTGCAGTGGTCAGAAAGTAAGTACACATTATTTCTGCATTCACACTTGTGTCGAAGTAAAGTCAGAGCTGGGGGCACACGTTACACTGCGCAGAAGAAAATACATCTCTTAGTTGTCTTTATTCCTGGGTTGAAAGCTGTTGAATTGTCAATCGCTATGGCAACAGTGATTGTCATCCCTTTGAGGCACGTGAACGGGAAAATACATCTATTGCATTTTGTCCATTATTTAAAACCAGTATGGAGGGAATTATCAAAGAAGGAGATGGAACTGTTTGGAAAAAGTTTGGGATGATTAAGATTCCTAATGTTTGACTGTGAAAGAGATCAAATCCAAAACAACAAAAACACAGCAAGCAACAAAGAAAGAAAGCAAAGGAAAGCAACCCTTATTTTTAGCTGTGAATAGTTGGAGTTTTGCATTTTTAATTCTGACATTCAGTGTTTCTTTTCCTTCTTCATTATTGTTGTATCTTATGTTTTAAAATGTTTGTAAATGTGTATGATTTTATGTCTTTGTAAAGCACTTTGGGTTACACTGCATGAATTGTGCTTCATAAATAAACTTGATTGAACTTTCTTGATAATGCTAGTGGTAATTATACTGTACACTGGAAATGAGCCACTGGAAATACTGGAAATATTGAATCCAATATTGGGAAAATATACAGTAAGTCTTTACAGTGAGGGAAAAGCAGACAGTGCCAACCTGTATTGTGCCTAATAGGTGGAAAGTCCCACAATTCTGTCTCTGTTGCGAGCTTCAGTATCAAATTTTGTGTTGATTTCATTATCTCAGTTTAGAAATGTGTCTTATGATGTCTGTGTGCGTGTGTGTCTGTGTGTGTGTGTGCGTGTGTGAGACAAGCCATCACATCAAGGTCTAGAATTACAGATAAGGCTTCTTCTGGATACATATACTCAAAAATGCTGATGAAGCAAAGGGAGCAGAAGAGTTGAAAGACACGGACAGTCTTCCTGGTTGTTGTCAGGAGGGATTAGGCCTGGACACTCTCCCACATACTGCACCGGACCATCCCTATGTTTAAGGATATATACAATGTTTTGATTGATTTGAAAAGGGATTCGGTTTCACAATCCTTACAGCACTTATGTATTACATGCCTGATTCCCATTACGCTTTCAAATATATATTGAAACCATATAAAGTCAGACATCAGCTCAGCAAGACCTATTTGTAATCAAATTTGTAAAGCGTTCTAACCTCTGGTATCACGGATCTACTGTTCTTTTAAACATGTGTACATGTTTCTTCTGACACGTGCTTTTTCCCCTGCTGTGCAAAACACAGAGCAGCGAGAGGTTTGCTTTAAACACCCCCCAAACATCAGATCCCTGCACCTCAGATCACATGAGTGTATAGTTTTGGAGACCAGCCCAAGGTGCATAAAGACAATTCCTCATTTTGCAACAATGCATAGAGACAGTGCATAACCCACACTGACTACTACATATCTATAGTTGTACAATTTTGTTCTATAGGTATTTTATGGTATATTCTTGCCTATCTTTCATAATAATATTCCAATATTTTATTGTTTAAATGTGCATTGTGTAACTTTTGGCTGAGGCCCGCTGCCCGCTTGTTGTCGTGGTATTTCTTTGCTTGGAATGAACCTCAGCACGATATGAATCTGTGTTATCTAATTATCTAATCTAATCAAAATAAATCTTATAACAGGTTTTTGCTTAAATAAGCTGATTTCTTACATTGGCTCAGCTCTCCTCTCTGCAGATATGACTTGCCTTGTGAAGTCACTTGTCTGTCTCCACTGTTTAACGATATTGTGGAACATTCCAAGAAAAAAAGCAAAAGTTAAAGTTTGATGCCCTTCTAACATTTTGGTAAAATGTATTATTTACATCTCCTGTAATATCATAATGGAAGTAAGCCATCTTTATTTATGCTTTTTACACACACACTTTTTACAGGACAACATTTGTCCTCTCACTCCTCTGGGATGCGAGCAAGGTCGACATACTCATCGTCTTTTAGTACTTTTGTAATTTTACAGCAAAATGTCCTATTACCCTTTGGCCATGGAAACTAAAGCAGGAGGGTAGAGTAATGCTCATTAGCTGCTTGAGAATTCTCCCTGGACTCCACGATATTAGCACTTCTTGGCAGCTATTTGGCTCCTTTTTTTATTGGTGGCTTTAAAATCCAACTCTACAATTACTGCCGATCATGTGACATTATGGACTAGTTTTCACACTGAGTGATGGAAGGACGTTTGTGACATATGGGGACAAAGGACTATGTACAATATAAGTATATATGTGTCCTGAAGCACTTTAACTTCAAGTTTATTTGAGGTGATGCAGCCAGGGAGAAGTTCTAATGACTGCAAACTGATTATATTATGCGATATCCATTGATGTTGGTTTTGAATGCAAACCAAAGCATTTATGTTTTGAAGCTTTTGGCCACTGGTGTCTCATTGTGCGGTGTCCTACTACAAATAACACTGAATTTAAGAAAAGTCAACACAGTCCTGTCAAACTTAATAGTACATTATTTGGGGTAAATGGCTGTAAGTGTCCTGTAGAGCTTTTGTTATGGCTAAAATAAGGAGCAACACTAAGGTTAGCCCTCATACATGACTTAGCTTGACTCAATTCATTTGCCATGCTACAATCCAAATGCCCACAAAGGCTCACATTCAAATTTTTATCAATTATGAAAATTATTTTTAATATACTGTACATGTATATATTTTTGAATTGTCAGAAAGGAAGTAGCACTCGTTGCACACTACATTCAAATGAGTATGGACCTTATGGCTGCTTCTTATTTACATAAACGAGTAAACTCTACTTACATCTGTCTATCTTCAGCTCAAAAGTCTAAACTATATTTCCCTGCATCTTTTCAGCTCTATTTGTGACCATAGTCAAATAATCATCAACTTAAAATGAACTAATAACTTTCTCTATAGACATATTTTTCTAAAAACACCAGTAATTACCTCTCCCCTTAAATAGCTGCATTTTTCATTCAAGAAGGTATGATGTGACTTCAAAACAGTGAAAACCACGACGTTGTATTGAATGAATGAATTCCTAACAAGCTCTATATTCTCACACTTGCTTTTTACAAGTGAGAAACCTGTTTGGAGATCTTTGGTGTTAATACTGCGAATCGGAGCCAGGGGTCCAACACTATCAAACTCTCCTACTTTACGGTGTCTTGACAGGAATGAGGTGGGAGAAAGAAACTGTGCAAAAAGAAAAACAAAAAAAATCATTCTCACATACATTCGGAAAACCTCTCCTGCTGGCCCCATATTGTTGTATCCTCTGACAATAGATTGGGTTACATAATGAAGCCCCTTCCATATCAAAGGCGAAGCGGAGGGGTTGAACCGGGCTGCGCTCCAAGCTGTAGATCAGGCCAAAAGCACATGGGACAATCCAACTCTCTGCTCTCTGTCATCCCACCAAGCAGATCCAATGTGAGCGAGGATACATGTGTTGCTGATTGTATGTATTGGCCAGAAATAGCTTTGGTCACCTAATATTTTGTGAGTTTCTACACTGCGTTTTTTGGAGATAAAGTTATAAAGATGCACTTGTTTTCTCGGCCACCACCTTAATTGTCTTGAAAGTTACGGTGCATTAAATTATAACCCTGTCCAATTATAATGCAATTTTTACCTATAATTGAGTTAAAGGCTCGCAAAATGGACGCAATAACCACTGTATCATTGTATTTTCTGTTTCTGATTCACAAATAAATAAGAGCTCATTTATTATTTTGGGAGAATAATGCGTCAGGACATGTTTTTTTTTACACGCTAATAGTTTTCTCAGGGTGCGCTCACACTCCAGTTGAAGTGAGCTCTGGTGCATTTTGGGATTGATTTGCTTATAGTCGTTGCTCAGGCATTTTGGCTCACATCAAATGCCTGTGGTCAAGTTTGCAGTGGCTGATTAGTATTAGAGTAATCCTGATTAGTGCAGTTTCCTCAAAGAAATCTTAACTGTAAATGTAACTTAAAATAAAATAATTACTAATACAAATTGACAAGACTCCATCGTCTGATGACTCCACAAACAACAAAAGGCATCCCTATTGTTATTACATATAGTGCATTATTATGATCTGCTTCGATTATTTATTCATTGTTGTGCAAAATGTTCTTTTGAATTTTAAATAAACTATAGTGCAAAGTCCATCACTAGTTTTTCAGAGAGAAAAAGCTCAAAATATCAATTACTGATTCACAGATCTTGTATGCAAAAGATAGCATGTTTTCTATTCTTTACAGCATTTTAATTCTACACGGCTCTTTCTTTTGGGACATGCAAAATGTATAATCTATTTTAAAATGTCCCCCAGCTTTAATCTTTTCTTAAATGTGAATCTTACAGTAATCAGGCTTGTACATGTACCCTGGAGGAACTACTTTGTCTTCTGGGTCTTGTCAAAATGGCCATGTTGAGCTGGGGTGCTCCCGCTGAGAGCCCTCACAGGTGTTCTCCGTGCCAGCTCTGGGTACATTTAAAACTTGGTCCTGCTGTCCGCGCCACACATCCTGCCAAGTCTGTCGCCAACAACAACAACGCCATGGCAGAACAGAACACTCCCCCACTCTCCCACTGTTCCTTCTACCTGCCCAGCCTTCTGTCCCGTCCTCTCCGCAAACTCAAGTCAAGTGTCTACCTCTGCTTTTTACCTATTCGCATTAGTATGAAATATGTTCCTCCCACACGCCACATTCCAGGGTCTCCGAAGATCCCATGAGGAGGATTGTCTCGTCGGTGCAACTTGAGTGGGTGCGGGGGGCTTTGAAAAGGGTAACAATGTGAGTGTGTGTGGGATGGCCCGCAATATGCTAATTCATCACTCACCGCCAGAAAATATGCTCTCCCATTAATATAAAACTCTTCGCTTACTGGCCCAGGATATTCTCACCATTATAAAACACCCGCGATAAAGATTAATAGACAACAATATGTTGTTTTTAAACTTTTTAATCACAGTTTGGAAAAGGAATACTTTTTAATAAATGCATCTTTTCTTGCACTTTTTCTTGCCATATTGTCCGAAAACTATGTAGAGTTTGTTTCTAAACAAGACAATAAGTTAAATAAAATCAAGAAAGATATATTTTATCATCTAAACTTATTGGAAGTAGTTCATGTCACTGAAAATAGTCTCTCATGCATTGTTACCCCCTCGTTTTCATGATTTTTCGACAGTATAAATTTGGTGCAGGGCATTTAAGAATTATTATGTATCGAAGCTGCAAAGTGCCTGCCCACTTCCTGAATCCATCTATCCATCTTCTTCTGTTTTTTCCCATATGGATATTGAAAGAAAACTATTATAAAAGATTGAAAACTTGAGCTGATCAGCAATCTGGGGAAAGATGACCACAAGATTTGATATAAGACAAATATTAAGAATGTATAAGATTTTGATATAAGTGTGTTTTTCTCATAAAAATGCTGCTTATTTGACACCGACCCATTTTTAAATGTATTGAGTCTTTTGGGCTGAAAAATGTGCGCTGTGGATAGTAGATTCCAGGAGCTTGCCTCTTCCATGACTTGAGCAGCCTCTTCGCAGCTCCATCGGAGGGTTGAAGTAAAAATTATAGCTTTATATATATATACATATTTTTTTTAAAGAAAGGCACTAGAAGATTCAGGAAGTCTAACCACTCCCAGGAGCAAAAGTAGCATTTGAAATAGTTGTCGATCACTTATTCAGTTTTGTCCACATACAAATCTGGCTTGTCTTGGATCATCTCAAGAGAAGAAGGAGGAAGTACATGACGATGGAGGCCTGCCATGGTTCACCAAAAGCACAACGCTGTGACAATAAAATACACAGCCATACTTCCCAATCAACAAGTCCTAAAGCTGTGCGGGGAAGATGAGCAGCCATGTCGCCACCACGTTCGCGACCGAGATGTGCCAAGTGAAAGTGAAAAGGAGTGAACAAATGAAAAAATAAAGTGAAAGACTGTGGACAACTGTTCAGAGACTGCACAAGCACCAGATGTCAAACTGTAACTGTGCTGTGTGTGTTTGCAGACGGTGAGTGTGAACACCTCATGTAAATTATTCACGTTAAAGAGCTTTTGACCACGTTATTATTGTTTTCTCTACTCGTTTACTTACCCAAAGTTTCAGAGAAATGGCTGCATCTAAATCCGAGATGCTGTGGCTCAGGCTGCATTGTCACCATCACACACACTTACTTACATTCTGCTTTTTTGTTTTCTTCACTTTTTGATTCACGAATGAATTGCCAATGGTAAATAGGCATTTTGGCTACTTTTTCTGTGTATGTTTTTAGTCCCAAGGGATCAGTTATGTGATTTTTTTTGAGTGACTGTGACACAAGGAGGAAGTTGTAAAAGTATTCCCCTTGTGGACGACCTCCGTGCTGTGGTGGGAGTTTAGTGCTGATCTTAGAGTTGCCTCTGTGCAAGTGTCACATACCTGTGATGACACTGTCTTGATACTGTTTTGGTGTGTTCTATAGCGCCTTCTAGTGGTTTAAAAATAGGCACTGCAGCCTACAACATGCAGAAGGTCAACAGAATGCCAAATGATTGTGTTTATGAACGGCCAAGCCTCTGATCAGGTCTCCCATGGCAAACAAGACCTGGATGATGGGTCAGCACAGTCCAAATAATCCCATGGATTGTGAAAAAATCGAGGAACGCAAAGGGCCCCGGCATGAGGCCCACCCTGGATCCCCGCCTGATCCTTTAGAAGACACCTCCTCTTCTGGGCCAGCCACCTGCAGAGGGCAGGGTTTAGACTTCTGCCTCCGGATAAAGCGGACAATACATGCTCAAAGTATATGATTTAGAGTAAATAGTGTGAAAGATAGAACTAAAAAGTATCAAACTTTGTGTTTTGTTTTGTGTTGGCAGTGCCCCACCCTCCCCCCACCCACTTGTTATTATAGGCAATTACTTGACATATAATACAACTTATGTTTGTGTATCCATATTAAAATGTACTAAACAAAACAAAGCCAAAATTCATTTAACTGAAAGTTTCACTCATCAGAAAACAAGTATCTGAAATGACCCTGTCTGACTTTCTCTAGTGCAGAAATCCATCACCATCTGGCAAAAAGCAGGTTGACAATAATCCTTGTTATTATTCTGTGCACATGAAAGAAAGTGTTTGTGAACTGTTTGGGTCTATGTTAGCAGACCTTTAGCTTTAGAATAGTCACTTGGTATACATCTTTGTATGTCAATTTACAGTAGATTAACAACATTAAATAGAGAAATATTGTTGTGGAATTACTTCATTATTTTAACACTATGACAGTAATTGGGCTGATAATAGTCTGCAGTCTATCCCTTTCTTCTGCATTTAAGTGTCACTTCACCATTCATTAATCCATTTTAATGTATTTTTATAAATCACAACATCAGTTTGAACACAGAGAATGCAATAATATCAAAAACATAGGAGCCATTGGTCTATAGGGAGCATGAATGTTAATACATGTGAGTAGATAGTATTGACGGCGGTAGAGAGCAAGTGGTGAAAAGGTGGTACTGCACCCTAAAATCCCCAGAAAGGGGACGGCGCTCTTGAGCAAGTGGTGAAAGGTGTTACTGCACTTTGTTTTTCAATGAGTTAGCTTCTGTTGGCCTGTGTGTGTGTGATAATGTTTCACAGTTGTCTAAAGTGATTTATGATCACGGTGTATTCTAAAACAAGCAGTTAGGTCAATAAACTAATTAATCTACAGGTCCTCCCTGTTAACGACACGTGTGTGTGTCTGATAGTGATGAGCGGTTGGGAGGGCATATCTACTCATGTGCACAAATGTTCCCAAATGTCAGCCGTCTTTCCTGATTTTGTTTAGAGAAGATGTATTTTATTTATTTTTGTGGTTGCGTCAGTGAGAAAGAACCCACACTGACTACTCAGGAAAAGGGCCTGGGCACTAGTGGATCCAAACCAGACTAGAGCACTTTATGCCCGCTTCATTTCACTTGCAAATCAGCAGCACATTCTCAGTGTCTTCGCAGCTCCAGGCTCCAGTCTCTCAGCTCCTTCCTGAGTCAGCCTGACTATTGCAGGCAAGTCATGCAGTCCTAGCAAGAGAAAGATGCACACACCAACTTTCATGTATGTTTTCTCTGTAGGATCCGTTTATCTACTTTAATATTACGGGTGGATTTGAAATATCGGACAATGTGAAGCATATTAAGTGAAAAATGTATCTGTGGGTATGAGAAAAGTTGCTATACTGTATATTACATTATTTTCATTACTCATATTTTCATTGCTCTGTCTTAACAATTTGGCTATATGTGGCAGGTTTCAGAATGCTTTTTGTACTATTTCTGCATATCTTCAGAGCTGATTTGAACAGAAATATCAAAATTAACCAGGAAATAAGTTGCTTTTCTATGTCCACGATGGGTTAAAAGTAAGGAAACAGTAATGAGTAACATTTCGTAACTGTCATAAAAATATTGTGTAACTTTACTTTTGTATTGTGTTTCTTTGAATTGATATTCGGTGGAAAATATCCCTATACTTGGAGTTCATTCATCTTATTCATTCATTCAGATACAGCCCACGGTGCATTCCACACCAATTGCAGCTATTTACAGTATAGGGCTTTTGTACTGGTCCAACGAGAAGCTGTGGACCAGTTCCAAGAAAACAGGACCCAAGCACCCTGAAGAGCCTTTTTGCCTCACTTTTATTCACTCCTGTTATTTCTCAAGAGTTCCTCCTGAAAGTATTTGGCAAACACAGTGAAAAAAAGACTTTGAGGGAAGAAAAACAACAAGTCGTTCTTGATCCACCCACACCCCATCTGCTGCGGTATTATCTCCTTTTATTATCTACAGATTATGATATGACTACTGCGGTTGCTAGAGCCGGCAGTCTGAGTTGTTTTTTGTGATATGACACAGCGATGGGGAAAGAATCCACCCCGTGCCCTTCCATTTTCAGTCCAATTAATTCCTGTCCGGATAAAGGGACACAATGGGGCCCTTGACCACATAATGAATCATTCAGATTCAGCAACGCGGCCCTGGCACTTGGCTTCTACCCGCCGATGGTTAATGGCATGCAGACTTGTGCCAACTTCGCCCGTCTACTCAGCGGACTTCAACGTAAACAATTTGAGGAAAAAAAAAAAGAGCTGAGATTTTTCCTGCAGTTCTCAATAGATATCTCTCTCTTTCATCAACAGGCATTTCAAATGTATATTAGTTCTAATATATTTGAAATATGAAAAATTTCAAGAAAAACCATAATTTCAAGAAAACCATATTTATTTTTAAAAAATGGACAGCAAATGGGTTAGATGTGCACATGTGGATGCATGTTAATACAACAGCAATAATTTTCACAGCCTCTTAAATTTACAATAATATTATACAAACAGATAAGACAGTATTTGTCAACAGAAATTCTGCCTAATTCACAGAATGTTAAAAGCCAATGTGGTTAATTGATCAAAAATAATAGTTCTGTCGTGGGTTAAAGATGGTGATGATGGCTGACAGTAAATACTTCTTTTTTCAATACTGACAATGTGTGGTCGAAGGCACAGATGTCTTGTGCAAGACTGCAACATTAAAGTGGCACTTGATGGTTAATGACACAATCTCCAACAGGCTCTTCTGGTGCTCCTAACATCACATAGTAAACAGATACGGGTCCAAAATCATTTGTGTAGATTCAGCCACACTCTAATAAATGTGTATGTATATTCTCGTACAGAGCGTGCACATGTACAGAAGGTCCAGCTGACATGTCACTCACACTCTGCTGTTACTCTACCCCATTTCCTTAAACCCCACATCATGACGAATTGCAATTTGCCAAGCATAGCTGTCAGACACCTGTTTTGTCCTGTGCACGTCAATTGGTCCTCCTCTGTTTAGTTGCAACAGGAATGAGACGTTTCAAAAAGTCAGAATGATACGCAGGTCTACTGCCCATCATTCTTATCTGTTAAACTGAAAACAGTACTGAAAATAATTAAACCCACATTATATACGTATATCTGCAGTAAAAACAAGAAGAGAAAACTTAAACTTAAGACTTTTGTATGCCAAAATGTCACTGCAAAATTATTAAGAGCTTTTTTGTTAAGACATTAAGCATATGGTCATTAGTGTGCTATTAAACTTATAGTCAAGTCGTCCTTAGCATGTGTACATTGTGTGGATGTCCATCTGCTTCACTGCAGACACACTGCTTTTTCCTTTAGCGTACATCTGAGACCACAGTCTGACCAATGTGAAGGATGTGGACGTGTCCTCATGGAGGAGTCTCATCAAAAGTACTTTGTCCATAGAACTTTGTATAAAATCAGCAGGCACTTGTTGAGAGTCCATGGCCTACCGCCATTGTCAGCTCCTTCATTAGTAGTGCATTGATGTCAGTGAGTGCTGGTTGTCCTTAAGGCCGTGACAGAGTAGTGTAGACGGGTTGGTCCCAGCTGGAGGCTGTGGGGCTGTGGCTAGGGGCCATTGACAGACCGTTGAGGATGGGGCTGCTGTAAGGCCTCCTGGAGGAGTGGAAGTACGGGTACTGGTACAAAGTGGAAGGGTATCCAGAGTAGGGGCTATAGTAGTTAGAGCTTTGCAGGTCAGTATAGTCACACTGTGAACTGGAGAAAGAGGCGGCAGGCGCAGAGACACTGGAGGAGGCCTGAGCGCTGTAGGAGAACTCTGAGTGTGAGGGAGAGTGCTCGCTGTAGTGACTGGGACTAAGCTGCTCGGTTTTGATGTGGAGCCGGTGCTGTCCTGCGTCACCTGTTGGAGCAGGGTGCAAGGTGCTCTTCCTGCTCCACTGTGAGGCATTACAATAAGAGGAAGTATACAGAGCTCCGGCTGCAGCCTGACTGTGATCAGGGGGGAGCGCGGATGACACAGCGTGGCCGTTCAGGGGCAGGTACTGGTCAAACTCATGCACGTCAAAAGTCTCTATGTTACTGATGACATCAGTGCTGAGCTCAGAGATGTCCACGTTACTGAAGTCTATGTTCTGCCGATCCACCAGGCGACGGGCTTCATGCTTCAGATCCGACTTGACTCCATGGTGTAGGTCTGTTTTGGGTGTAGTGGGGGGTGTGGGTGGTCCATGGGGTCCTGTAACAACAGAATAACACATGTCAAAAACAACTATAACAATGAAGTAGTGGTCTGTGTAACCTTGTGCCTCCATACCTGTGTGTTCCCCATGAGGATGTCCGTCTGTGAGGCCGCCCAGTCCCATGCCAGGCTCTGCCTTGTACATGTGATGCAGATCTGCCCCAGGGTCTGAGTCGCTCTGACCAGGCTTCAGATTTTTCCTTCTGCGAGGCTGGTACTTGTAATCTGGATGGTCTTTCTTATGCTGAACTCGCAGTCTCTCCGCCTCATCAACAAATGGCCTCTTTTCACTTTCTGACAGTAAACTGTTGAAATAAAAACATATTGTCTATGTTATTTAAAATAACTGATACTGAACAAGATGGGAAAAGAATGGCTGCATACAGAATGTGTTTTGTGTTTAAAACATTTTAACTTTAACTTTATAAATTACTACTCAGCATATTGGGTAAAAGAGCAGAAGTTACCGCCAGAGTTTGCCCAGGGTCTTGCTGAGCTCTGCGTTGTGGAGATGCGGGTACTGGTCCGCCAGTTTCCTGCGCGCCGCCTGCGCCCACACCATGAAGGCGTTCATGGGTCTCTTGACGTGCGGCTTGTTCTTCATGGAGCCGCTGCCGCGCACAGGCATTGGCACCAGGGACCAGTCGTATCCTTTGAGCACCTGAGACACTGCGTCCCGGATGCAGGCAGGGAAGCGCTCATCGTCCTCCCCGTCCAGCTTCTTCCCCATCCCCCCGAGCAGAGAGCCCTGGCTGTCGGAGCCCGCGGGAGAGCACGGCCCCTCGGAGTCAGACTCGTCCTGGGACAGAGAGCTGTGGGAGCCGCTGGGGCTGCAGGGCTGCTCGCCAATACACTTGTCATGGTCCTCCGACATTTTCAACATCTTCTATTCAACTTCGAATGGAAATCCAAAAGTAAACGGAAACAAACTTGTCTTTTACGCACAAGACGCGTTGTTCCTTGCTGTGGGCAACAATAATCCAGTTGTGGAGCAGTGATTAGAGTCCGTGTGGATCCTGGACGCGGCCGGACGAGCTGTCATCGAGCTGATCGTCCCACACTGGTCCTGACTCTGAGCGATGTCTACACTTTACCGCAACTTGACTCGAAGCCTGTGGACTGACACTCCACCTTCAGCCTCTGATTGGCTGCAGTAAACCACTACTGTTTTCTTATTGGTTGAACATTTATGGTAATACAGTTGTTGTTTTTTCCCTCGCCCTTTTCACCACATTCACTCTTTATGTCCGAGTTTATGTGTCCAGATCACTGCTGCTGTTACATGCAAACTTACAGTCTTTAATTATCTTGTTTTTACATGTTCAAGTTAGCATTTATGATGTGCTTGTCAAAGCTGGGGCAAATTTTAGTTTCATAAATAACAAATGTAAAAAAAATGTTTTGAACAAATCAGACCACTGCATGAAAACAGATCTTAAAAGAAAACATGTTATCTTTAGCATACTTGTAAAAAAAGAGCCCTCTGAGTCACTATTTGACTCTTAGGGCTCAGAGGTGGTTGACTGAGTGTGGGGGGTTCTCTGTTTATCACATTTCTGTTTGAAATAGATGATCTACAGATGTAACAGAGGCTAAAAGAACATGCATGTGAAAACTATAGAGAATGTAACTGTTTTGAGAGCGAGGAACTGGTATAGATTTTACTATTCGGATTTTCTCTTGATGTGGTTTGAAAGTTAGGTAAACGTTTCACTAACCCTCCGTAAAGACACTTGGGAGCTACAGCAGAATTTTCTCTTTTTTTCCTATGTTTTGCAAATTAAAAAAAATCCAGCACGCTATCAGATCAGGTTATGTGGATGGACGGCCTTATTTGAAAACCTCTTGAAAGTTAGGTACCCCAACTTTAAACATAGCATTGTATTGATTAGTAATTTGTTGAGGCTGTAAACAATATTTGATTCTTTATATAATAACTGTGTCTTTTTGATTTGTTTTACAGACTCATTTCTGGTGCTGTGATCAACAATCTTTGCACACAAAAATCACTCTCAAACAGTTGCTTTTGTCGTGTTGCAGACGTATAATTGCGTTTTTAAGCCATGCATTAAACTCATGCTTCTGAATAGTGCGATGTGGACGCACAGTATTTCTAAACTCAGCGATAGTGATTGCCTGATTGTTGTTGTTGCCATCGCTCTCTCCCAGACGTGTCCCTGATCTCACACACGCCGAAGCTGCTCCCATCCAACAACCGTTAGTATCTCTGCTTCCTCACACTGTAACGCAGAGCACCATATTTCACCGGACAATTCAGGGGAAGGAAAACAATCTACGAAGGCAGACAAGTTAAGAAATACAGCAGAGCCCAAAACTGGAATGTTTAAAATGGGTCAATTGTAGACTTTTTATTCCATACAGTTGTGAAAGATTACACACCCAGACCGAACCAAAACATGTATTTTCACTCATTGTTAGTGGTTATGTGAAGTCATGCAAAGTCAGATTAACAAGACAAAAGAAACTTGTGTTATTATTATTACTATTACTGCATTACTACATATCCATTCATCTGATATTTCTGTCATTCACTAGTCACTTTACCTGCTGATAATGTTACTATTGTTTATTCTGGTCATATTCTCTGCTGCTAGAGTGTGATATACAAATCTGTAAATACCTCTGTACCATTAGGCAAGGCAAGGCAAGCTTATTTATATAGCACAATTCATACACAAGGCAATTCAAAGTGCTGAACAAAATAAGAAAGCAGTAAAATCATGAATAATCACAGAACATTAAAAAGAAAGATAAAAATATAAAATCCCTCAGTTGTATGCACAGCTAAACAGAACTGTCTTTAACCTGGTTTTAAACATTGTCATTGACTCCGCAGTTTTATTTTATTTTATTATATTTTACTTGCAATTTTATTTTTTTATTTTATTGTCTATTATCTTAAATAATAGACCTTGTTTGATGTGTGCAATCTGACTCCTCTTATTTCCTTCTTTCTCTGCTGTAATGTGCGCAACGATGAACTGAAATGTCCCCACTGTGGTACAAATAAAGGAATATCTTATCTTGACCTTGATTAAAAGTTTCCTTTCCCCAGTTCTCAACAGCGTGTATTTCTCCTTTAACATCTACAACAGCTCTGAGTCTTGTGTGGTAGTTGTGGATGAGGTTCTTTAATCCCTCTGGTGGTGAAGCTGTCCACTCTTCTTGAAAGTCTATAGTGCTTGTAAATTCCTGGACCGCCTTGCATGAGATTGAGATTTCTCCAGAGCGGCTTAATGCTAATGACGTTTTAGAATAGAAAATGTGTTTATTTGAAAATATATTACTTCACACAACAACAACAACAACAGCAACCTGCTCAGGGACTACAGGTGTAAATTAGCACTGCTGCTACAACCTGGTACAATGCAGCTCTCCTCTTGGCTCTTGGCTGTACCAGTAAAAATACATATCATACCATGCCATACCAATCAGACCACACAACAATAAGCATTTCGGAAAAAAAGTACTCAATTTATTAGTTTTTTGAATCAGATAAGTCTTTAATGATTACATAATTAAATCAAAATGTGTTTCCAATGTATTGTTAGTATTAGATAGCAATATGGCCTACGTGCAGGACTCTACAAGGACTCTGATTATTTTGACTATGATGTGACTGTCTCTGTGTGACACGTACGTCTTTCGATGTGTGACGTGACAATGACTATATAAACTGTGTACTGACTCCATTCTGTCTGAGAGAAGGAAACAATGGAAACCACTGGAACTTGAGAGAAACTTAAATAAACTTCCAGAGTTTGGCGCACCACGATCCGTCTCTGTCTGCTTCATCCCTGACAGTAACTTTAATCATCCAAACCCAATGTGTAACTAAAAATGTTCTCCAGGGGCGTCTCTTTGTTTTGATCTAATGTATAAAATAGTAATAATATTAATAATAATACATCTTGCTTGTATAGCGCTGTTTTGGACTCTGAAAGGCGCTTCACATGGGGAATAAAATATTATAAATAAAAAAATAAAATGGGGTTTACGGAAAAGTTTGAAAAGATGGGTTTTGAGAACTCATTTAAAGTTTGGTACAGAGTCAGATTTTCTAACGGGCAGTGGGAGTGAGTTCCAGAGGGTCGGGACGGCAATGGCAAAGGCTCTGTCCACCAAGGTCCGGCGGTTAGTGCGGGTGATGGGAGTGAGGAGGTTGGAATCGGTTGAACAAAGACGGCGGGTGGGTTGTTGTTGTAGGAACTCGGTAAGGTAGGGCAGGGCCAGGAATGGAGGGACTTATAGGTGAGGAGAAGGAGCTTGTAATGGTTGCGATATTGAACGGGGAAAGTATACTATATTCACTGAGCTTTTGAGATCTACACAACTACTTATAACTAACTAATCCAAAGAATAATCCACCAACTAAGCGATTATCAAAACAGTGGTTAATTACAGCCTCAACGTCGATCACTTCATGGAGAGTGTTCCAATATAACTTTCTATATCCTTGGAAAATGCAACATAGATAATCCCTGTGTTCACGTCTGCAGACATCAAGCCTCTAATCATAAACAATGTGTGGTGTCAGGATCCTACTCATGACCTCTGGCCTCACATCATGGTAAACTTATTATTTTTGATAATAATTCACTATTAAGATTTGATTTGATTTGAGACGTGTCTGTCTGGAATGTGGCGGTGGAAGCAGTTCGGAAACAATAGCCCCAAATACTCTGATTATCTGCAGTTTTCTATGTGTTTGCAAGGCGACTGTTTTTGCATGTTTATGTTAATTAGAGCTTGCAGAGAAGCAAAAAGGAATACTTGTTCCCGTGGTTGCATGTCATGTTGCGATTGCTTCCTTTAGCTATCAGCAGACTGTCAGAGGACGTCACATGTGGACTATACCCTTCCATAGCGTAGAAAGACTTTGATTGTATTGAAACAGCCCCAAGGTGAAACTTAAGGTTCATAACTGGGGAACATGACAGGAGGCTGGATGTTGTGCAGAAACAAATTCATCCTTAAATGCATTAGATTAGAAGCATAAATAACTTCATTTCATTTCATTCACACTTACTTAATGTATTTTCTATATGGTCAAAGTTCACGCCATATATTATGTTTATGAACATTTTGGAGGCAGTAGGTGTCACATGGGTAAAAGGAAATGAACCCAAAGTGCAGGAGAATATGATAACTTTAATAAAATGTAAAACAAAACAAACACAGAAAATAACCAAACTGGGACTTTCGACGAGATCTAAAACAGAGGTGGAATGACAATGACAGAACAGGAAGAGAAGGAACACACACGGTTTAAATACGCTAACGGCTAATGAGACACAGGTGATACACATGGGGGCGGGGCTTGTAATCAGGAAACAGGAAGTACAGGTAAAGACAACACAGGGGTTAAGAAACTACAAAATAATACAGGAAATAAATCTAAACCATGACAGTAGGAGATCCACTAATGTGCTATTTCAGAAGTAAAGTCTACCCGCCGATTGATATATAATAATAATCACATCTAACCCTTTAGCCATTTAGCTAACCCAGGGCTAACCCATTTAGCCCTGTTTTGTCGCAACTATTGGTTATTCCTTTTACAATTATATGTTTTACAGTTATGGTAATATGAATAATGCCTCACACTTTTAATGTTACTGGACCTGAAACATTAGACTGAAAAACACAAAAAGGTATTTATTCTTCTAACTACATTTTTGACAAAACATTGGCTATGTGTCTTTTGTTCATAATGAGCTAACATAATTGACGATCAGAAATGGCTGAATCGCAGTATAAAATAAAAACAGACGTATAGAAAACCACTCTTTCTTCTAGTCATCTCTTGATTTGTGGTTGGTTGGCGTTTGAATCTGATAGTTTTTTTGCTCT